AGGCTGCGTGAAAAATGTCCCTGGTTGTCTATGGACACATTTTCCAAAAACTGACAGTGAACATGTATGTGCCAGGAATGTTTTTCATTTGCAGGGACTCTTCCTGTCTTCCAGACTGAAGGTGGTCAAAAGGGATGGAACCAGTCAGGAGGCCTTTCCCGTCCTCTCGCGTTTTAGGTTGCGCACGGACTGATCATCCGATTGAGGGGAAATTGCCCCACGTCTTGGTTGCTTCGCTGGTGAAATGATCGTGGTTTTTGCATTACGAAACCTTTTTTCACTCATACCTTCCTGAGGGAGGTCTGATGGCGTGCCAGGGGCGATGGGGGTTCCCTGGTCGATGGTACTTTCTTGGAGCATTCTTATCTCATTTTGCAGCAAGGAAACGGAAGCTCAGCGTGGTTAGAGGACTTGAGCCAGATCAGAGATTTAATGATGGACCCACCCACCAGGCCTTCCTCCAAAGCCCACGCTCTTCTGCCCGGGACCATAGGAAGATCTTCTCTCAGGAAGTGTGGGCGGGAAGGGCTGCCGTTGGAAATCTGGTCAAGTTCCTGCCCACGATGGAGGAAACCTCGAGGTCTAGAGGTGGGTCCCAGGGCTCATCCCTCAGGCTCTCCAGCAAGCGGCTGCAAAGCTTTTCTGAACCCAAAGTCTCCCTCACATGCTTTGTTCTTTATTGAAAGAATTTTGATTTTACCAAATCAACCGTGACGTGAGCTGCATAAACACCGCAATTCATTTTGTCTATTTTTACCTCTCTACCTAGCGGCAGTAATAGCATCGAACAGTGGAGATGCTCCATTTGGTGAGCAAATGGGTCGTAGGAAGATAAGTAGTCAGAGGGCCAATTACATCTTGCAGAGAAGTTCTGATGCGATGGCTACCTATCACTCCCCCTCAAGTCTCCACACAGCACAGAGGGTGGTTAGAAGCCCAGCCATCAGCCAGGACCCAAGGCCAAAAGGAAGCCAGCATTACCAGGCCTCCTTCCCTGGCACTTCATCACAATCAGTAAACACACAGCCATTTGTTTCCTTTACAGAGACTCTTGTCACAGAGATACATCCCAACACGGGAAATCCCGCCGGTCCCGCCCAGCGTGGCTTCAGATGGCCAGTTCCTCTGACTTCCAATGTTACCCGAGATTCTAACTCCACAGCTCCGTAAGAATGCAGGAAAGCTGTTCTGTAGATAAATCCCTAGGTTTATCGACCCGTGTATTATTTATTCTTATGCAATTAGCAACCACTTTTCTGGAAAAAAAAGGACAGCGGGGTTGAATAAATGAAGGACATCTGGGCTGAATCAATAAATCTCTCTGTGTCTTGTTGCCAGCAGCAATTCTGCTGCCTTATGGACGCCCGGTTTAAGAGCCGAATGAGTAAACAAAGCTGTTATGAGTAATTAGTATCCAATTAGGTCAAAGGTTTCATGTCTGTGTGAGTCAAGGCCTCTCTTTTTTTCCAACCTCTGGGAAGAGCTGAGCAGGCCAAGCCTCTGTTTATAAAGCAAAGTCTATGCTGACTGCCGGGGGCATTTTATGAGTCGTTAGGACCTGCACATCTCGAGTTTACTCGATTTTTTTTTTTTATTGCCCCTTCCTTGCTGCTGGTGAAAGGGGCAAGACTGGCCCCCAGAGATCTCGGTCCTTCCTCCCTGTGTTCATCTCCGAGGAGCTCCCAGCTCAGCAGCATCACCCAGAAGCGACATCCTGACTCAGAGGGAAGGCCATGACCCTGCCCTCTGGGGGGAAAGGTCATGACACTGTTCTTTTCATCACTGACCTGTTTCAAATGAGAAACCTGGAGTCAGAGCCTCCCTAATAACCAGAGTGTGTCTTGATTTGTGTTTATTCCAACTTTGTATTATGACAACGCTCCAATATGCAGAAAAGGTAAAAGAACGCAATGAACATGGGTAGACCCATGGCTTAGAGTCACCAATTAAGATTTTGCTGAACCCTTTGAAAGTGATTTGCTCTGTTAATATGTCTGCATGTATCGCCTAAGAATAAGGACATTCTTTTATGCAACCAAAGGAATATTATGAAGAAGAATTTGTTTCTTTTACATTGTCGAAGTAATTAGAGTAACAGTGCTTATCATGTCTCCTTATTATCCTTGCAGAGCCTATAGGATCTGTAGTAATGCTTCTGTTTGGCTCCTGATGTGGTAATTGGTAACTTCTCCCTGTTTTTCTGAATAGGTCTAGTAAGAGATTTATTGATTTCATTTAAAATTGTTTTCCAATGAGCCAGCTATGGATTTCATTCACGTTATTTTTTGTTTGTTTTTTATTCCATTGATTTCCACTTTTATGTTTATTACTTCCTTCTTATTTTTTTTTTGGTTTCGTTTGCTCCCTCTGCCCCCCACCACCCGCCCCGGCATTTTAAGTTTAAGTGTGGATCATTTTTTTAAGCTATACCCACAAATGTGGCCAGGTTGTGTTTTTATTCTTTAGTTAAAAATATTCTTAACCCCCCTTATGATTTCTTCTTCGACACACATGTTATTTAGAAGCATATGGTTTAATTTTTTAATATTTGGAGATTTTTTTTCAGATATTCTTCTGTTGTTTTTCTGTTAAATTCTGCTGTTGGGCAAAGCATAAATTTTGTATGATTTCAGACTTTTTATATTTGTCAAGGCTTATTGTGTGACTCGGCACCTGGCCGATCTGGGTGTATGTTCCTCGGTCACTTGAAAGAAATGGCTGCTCTGCGGGCGTCGGGTAGATATTTTTGCGTCAATTAGGCCAAGCTGATGAATAGTATTATCCTTACTGAGTTTCTGTTGGCTTGTTTTGTAAATTAAGAGAGAAGTGCTAAAATTTTCAACTAAAATTGTTAATTTGCCTCGTCTTTCAGGACTGACAGTTTTGCTTCATTTACTGTGTATGTACACATTCAGGACTGTTAATTTTTTTGGTGTATTGACCTCTGCCACCTTATAATCTCTGTCTCTGTTAATAATTCCTCTCCTGAAGTCTGTTTTCTCTCATGTTAATAAAGCCGCTCTGACTTTATTTTGCTTATAGTGTGCATGGGGTGTCTATTCCATCTGTTACATGCCTTTGTCATCGCCTTTAAAGTAGGGTTTTTAGTAGATCACACATACCTTTGTCTGTCTTTTTTATTTTAGAAGCTCTGTCTTTTAATTGGAGTGTGCACTATTACACATGTTAAAATTTTTAATATGGGTGAACTTAAACCTATCACGTTTTTCTACTTGCCCTAACCCTTCCTTATTTCCTCTTTCCTCTTTTCCTGCTTTCCTTTGGATTAAATGTATATGTATATATTTTTTTACTTTTCTATTTATCGACACTATTGGCTAATGACAAGCTATACTTTTAGTTTCCTTATTTTGAAAGTGATTAAGGTTTGTAATATTCAACGTTAACTTACCACCGTCCATATCATGCCACTTCATGTATAATGGACAATTCTTAGAACATTACATTTCTCTTTCCTCCCTGTTGCTGGTGCTATTTTGCTGTTGTCACATTTTATTTCTCACATAATTTTAACCCCACAATACATGTTTACATTTGGCTTTGATATTCAGTTACCTTCCAAAGGACTTTTTAATGAGGCAGTAAGTTAATATTTACCATATATTTACCAATTTTTGGCACTCTCCATTTCTCTGTATACACCCGAACTTTCATGTCATCACAGGTTTCACATTCCTGTGATTTAAAGAACTTGGCTTCTATTTATTGTAGAGCAGATCTCCTGCAAGTGAATTCTTGCAGCTTGTGTTTGTCTGAAAAGATTTTCTTTCCATTTTTCAAAGGATTCATTTCCCTGAATAGAATTATAGGTTGACAAGATTTGCCTGCTATCTATCTATCATCTATCTATCTATCTATCAATTTATCTATCTATCATCAATTTATCTCCCTTTAATATTTTGCTCCTTAGGGCCTGCATAATTTCTGACGAAAAGTTCACAGTCATTCTTACCTTCCTTCGTTTGTGCATATGTTTATTTTCTATCTCTGCTTTGAAGAATTTAAAAATGCTACCAACTATGAACAAGGGTTCCAATTTCTCCACATTCTTGCCAAAATTTATCATTTTCTGTCTTTTTTTACAAAAAAAATGTTAGCCTTTCCTGTGGGTATGAAGTGTACTGAATTATAGTTTTGATTGACATTTCTTGACTCACTAATGATGCTAAGCATCTTTTCCCATGCTTATGACCAAACTTTTAACAATTAGGTTATACCAACTATCCCAAAGCCTGGAAAAGGAGGGAAAGCGACACAATCTATTCCATGAAGCTATATTAATCCTGATTTCAGCACCTAGCAACGAAAATACAAAATAAAGAAAACTACACCTAAACCTCACTTGGATATAATTTTAAAATCCTAAATAAAGTAGCTGCAAAATAAATAGTATCTCAAAAGGATTTTCTAGCTGATCCAGGAAAACTAATCTTACCTTGGAACTCCAAAAGGGTTCAATATTAGCAAATCTGACATCATCATACTTTATGTCAGCAGCCCCCACTTTTAATAATAGTTTAAAGGGCATTAAATAACACCTAAAATATAGTCCCAAAATAAAATAATCCTTAGGGAAAACTAGAGGATACTCCTTTCACGTAATAAGCACATAAACATCTTACTTAACAGCGAAACACCGAGGCATTCCCGTTAAAACACTGAGGGAACATCAGAATCAGGGCAGGTGTGTTTGCCTCCAGTATTACTGCTTCCTGTTGCTTAAGAAGATGTGACTCATGTAATAGGATCTGAAAGAGAAATACAATCTATAACCATTGGGACAGAGGGGACGAAAATGTATTATATACCAACAATATGAGTAGATAACCGAAACACTTAAGGGAATCAACTCTGAAACACTCAGAATTTACAAAAAAGCTTAGCACCATGGCCAGGTTTTTTAAAAAAATGCTAAATGTACAACAGTCAATAGCTTCTTCATAAACCAATAGGAAGCAAATAGAAAATATATTCCCCTGGGCAGAAAACATTAAATTTTTATTAGCAACATGAGGTAAACCACAAAACTTGACTGATAAACACACAAATATAAGGAGGAACGGCACATAATGGAATGTTATACAGTCATTAAAAATCTGTAATGATGTGTGAAAATCATTCTGGAAAAAGCAACATGGAATAAACAAAAAGCAGAATTCATAGAATATATTCACATGATTCTTTTTTCATAGAACAGAAATTATATATTAGTCCCCAAAACAGAAATGACTGCAAGTAAACCTAAGAGGTTTTAATACTTATTATTTTTGTGAGATGGATTATTAGACCATTTTCAATTTCTGTATACTTTCATGCTATATTTCTACAAGCAATTATTACTTTTGAGGTCAGAAAAAAAAATTAACTTATTGAATTCATTTGAATTTAAATCCAAGCAACTGAAAAGTAATACATTTATTGGCTACATATTATTTTCAAGATTCAAGTTTATGATTCTCTGAATCACCCTGGGCATGAGAGTGTTGCTAAAACATGGGTTAATACCCAAGAGCAAAGAGTCTGGGACAATGTTCAAGTGGACAAACATAGAAATATTTCTCTGGCTCCCCTGAGCTGGCCGGACTGCCTAGAAGCTAATGTAAGAATATGAAGATGACATCATTGCAGGTGTTCTTTCAAAGCAGAACATAAGTTTATAATGCTTTGGCTGACAAAACTGGAAGGGAGACAAGATTTTAAAAGCCTCAGATATTCCCTTTGTCGATGCTCGCCATCTTTATCTTCAAATAGAAGTATTTATATTTCTTCTTTCTGCCCCTTAGGCTCTGGCTCTTGCTAAGAAATGTCTCATGAACTTCAGAAGAGGAGACAAACATAAGAGGATAGTACACAATGTTCTATTTTTTTAAGACTATAAATATTTTAATGTCTAGAAGAGACCACCTATCATGAAATCTTCAGATCTTCCTTAGTCTTGTAAAAAGCTAACTGTACAGTTTACTATAGTTTCCAAGCTCAACTGGTATATGCCAGATTGGCCTAAAACATTTGAAAATAGCCTGAATATTTGTAAAAGATGGACATACTAGGAAAGAGTAATGTCAAATTTAATAACTGAAAAACAATATATGCTGCCATTAGAAAAGATGAAACACATAACCTTGACTGAATTCTTTTACTAAAATCAACACGTAATGCTACTGTACAAACAGAACCTAATCCTTGCTGATAATCCAATAAGTATTTATTAAGTACCTGCTAATACATAGAATTGTGGCGGGCTCTGTAGACAGAACTGACAAAATATCTCAAGGAATTTAGGGAGTAAAAGGGAGAAGAGACAAGTACAAAAATAAATAGAACTCCTACAAATCAACATGAAAAACCAAATAACTTAATTTTAAACATGGGCAAAATACTTGAATAGACATTTCACCAAAGGAGATACATGAAGGCCAGAAAGCACATGAAAAGTTGCTCAATGGCATTTGTCATCAGAGAAGTGAAAATTAAAGCAACGGTGAGATGCCATTTCACACCCACCCCAGTAGCTAAAATAAAAAACGATTGACAACACCAAATGCTGGCAAGATGCAGAGCAACTGGAACTATTACGCATCGCTCCATCGGAGAGAGTGAAGTGGTACCACCACATTAGGGATCTGTCTGGCAGCTCCTTCCACATTAAGTATGTGTCTCTTCTATGACTCAACAATTCCAGTTCCAGGTATTACCCAACAGAAATGAAACATGTCAACAGAAAGACATATGCAAGAATTTTTACAGACAAAATATACACAATAGTCAAAAAAATACATGCCCATCCACTAGAGGGTGGATTCACAAATTGTGGTATGTCCATACATGGACTACTACTCAGCAATAAAAAGGGAGAGATTGCTCATAGGCTCAACAACATGTACTAGTAATTATCTCCAAACATCACATGGAGTGACAGAGGTCACACACACAAAGAAGAATCTATGGATTTGAAACTCTAGAACAGACCAAGCTAATCTATGGTGAGAGTTGCCTCCTGGAGATCTGCTGCCTCCAAGGTTGTGTGGGTGGGCCGATAATTAACTGGGAAGGGGCAGAAAGAAATGTTCTGGTGATGGATAAGCTCTGGTCTTGACGGAGGTAATGATTACACAGGTGCATAATTGTTCAAACTTACTGAACTAAACGCTGAAGAGCTATGCGTTTTATTGTATTTAATTCATTTGCATGTAATTCATTTTTTAAATGTTCAGAAAAGAAAAAATAGAAATGGTAGCTAACTGACATTTGTGCGTTTGCATCACAACGACTACAAAAAGCCTCAGTTGTGTTATTGTAGCTCAAGCTGCTATGACAAAATATCTAAGCGGCTTAAACAATGGACATTTATTTCTCCGGAGGCTGAAATCCAAGACCAAGGTGCCTGCAGATGCAGTTGTTGGTGAGGGTTTGCTTCTGGATCACAGATGGCCATCTTCCTGCTGTATTCTCAGATGGGGGAGAAAGGAAGCTCTGACATCTCCTACTTTTCTTATAAGGACACTAATCCCATCATGGGGGCCCCATCCTCCTGACCTCATCTAACCCTAATCACCTCCCAAAGGCTCCACCTCCTCAGACCATCACATTGGGGGTTAGGGCCTCAACATATGAATTTTGGGGAGACACTAACATTCAGTCCATAGTATTTGTTCATATCACCTTAGAACACCACATCGCCAAAAAGTGCTCATTCAGTCATATGAGAAGTTCAGGAGCAAGCACTGGACGATGAAGCCACAGTCAGGCCAGATGTTGGGTGGAAGCTGGAACCACCTCTGGGTGCCGTCCCTGCAGGAGCTGAGTCTCAAACCAGGGCTTCAGAGGAATTAAAATCCACCACACATCATGAACCTCTACAGCAGCTTGCAAATAATCAAAAGAGGGGAATTTAAAATCCAAAAGCATAATTACTGTGCAAGAAAGACTATTAGAGACACCAGATGAAGCCACAGAGAGTGTTTTATCTGACGTTTAAACTGGCAGAAATCTCACCTCCTGAGGAATAAAACCACATTAACTAAGGTATTGACCCATCAGATAGTCACCACTCCTTAGAGTCTGGCCCCATCCACAAAGCATGAAGTGTACATTGGTTATGTGATCTGAAATGAGCACGTGGAAAACTCTACCGAGATACTTAGTTCCTTCACTCAGATATACCCCTTTAGAGCCTTTAAAAAATTGTCCCTCCTTGTCCAGTGCACTTCATATCAGATACCTAGTTGGAATATAAGTAATAAAATAAAGAATAGACTTATTGGAGAGTTTGCACATATTAGGCGATAATAGGTGTTGATGTCAATGTGTTTACAACATTGGTTTTCAACCCTTCCCCTGCCCTAACACCTGTGAGGAGCAAGACGTGTAGACAGCTGCCTTCTTGCCCCTCAGAACTGATGCCCCGTGAAACAGTGGTGTTCTTCAGAGCGGAGCAGTGTGACCCCTTTGGAGTTGGGCACGCGTGTCATGATGTACATCCCCCCTCCCCCACCCGAAGAATCCCATCGGGGATTAAACGAATCGAGCACCAATGTGCTCAGCAGGCCAGGGGCCATTCTTGATTTTTCTCTTTCTCCCTAGCACCCTAAGTGGTCTGGCCCCGTTCCTCCACCCCAGCCACCATTTCTGTCCCCTCCCTCCAGGTCCAACCACACTGGCCTCCCTGCTGTTCTGGAACAGGCCTGGTGTTCCTGCCTCAGGACCTTTGCAGTAGCCCCTCCATCTGCCTGAACACGCTTCCCCAGATGCCCCCATGACCAATGCCTTCACCCCCTGCAGGCCTTTGCATGAAGGCCCTCCTCTTAGTGGGCCCAACCCTGACTCTCCCTGTTTAAAGTTGCAATCTTTCCACCCTCTGGCAAGTTCTCTGCCCTCCTCCCTGTTCTGTGGCCTTTCTTTCCAGTGCACTCAACCCCTTCAACAAGCTGACATTTGCTTGTTTCATTATCTTTACTAGAGGCCCAGCGCACGAAATCGTGCGTGGGTAGGGTCCCTAGGCCTAGCCTGCGATCAGGGCCATCTTCCGCCCGCTCACCAGTCCCGCCCCACCGCCACTCGGTTCGCTGTGGTTCCCCCATTCGCCATGCTGCAATCAGAACCTGCAGGCTTGGGCAGAGGGGAGAGACCGAGTGGTGGTCAATGCACCTCATGGCAACTGGGCGAGCGCTCATTCCGGTCATTACGTTTATGGTTGCTGGCCTTTTATTATATAGGATGACTGTATTGTATTACATTTACTATTTGTTATAACATCATCTAATTTATATGTTGGGTGTTGTTTTTTATCCTTCTAGCTCCCTTTGCTATGGTGTAAGTGCCCCTTGGCATTGACGTCTCTTAAAGCACCAAAGACCCTCCCTGTCACATAGCAGGTGCTCACTCAATACTGATCAAACGAGAAAGTATTTCCTCTGCTCCTTTAAGGACCTTAAGGAATGACTATAATGGCCACTGTGAGCATTTCTCTCCTCAGCTCTTTCCTCCACCTACCCAACCCTCCACCAGGGAGACTGGAGTCCTGTGTTAACACCAAAGACTCCATCAGCGCGTTGGGTGGTCTGGACAAAGCCTGTGACAGCAAATGTAGGGGAAGCCACTTGGGAAGCAGCCCTGGCCCCCCATTTCCCTCTCCCACCAAGTCCTGCTGGTTCCTGGTAACCACCTGGTCCCCAGACTATGGCATCCAGAACAACATAAATCCCACTTCTACGGGCCCAGAATGGCTTCCGATAAGCATCTAAAGGACCCACTGGCTCAACAGAACACCCGCATCCTCTGGGACCCCACATCCCCAGAGAGGGTCTGGGTGTAACCTACTGCGGTGACCACATGTAGGAAAAAAACAAAGGTCCTCGAGCTTTCACCAAGCCTAGAAAGTTCCATGCATGCAGCCACAGCCACAAATACATTAGTTTGGGAAAATTATAGGCATCAGGCTTATCAATGCAGACAACCCCCTGCCGGCTGCCATGGGCCTGCATTCCACACACGGAATTGGGGGTGGGGGGCGCCAGAAAGCTCCTGGAGTCCACACCACCCTCGATGTTTGTCTTCGGCGGTATTTGCTGGTTGCCTATATGTTTCGAATTCCGTGGGAAGAGCAGGCCCCGTCTTGCTGGCGTTTGCATTTCAGCCTCAGCTCCGTCCTTAACCTGCTGGAAGCTGCAAGGAATTCGGCGCTCGCTCGGGGACAGGCCTCCACAAGTGCCGGGAGTCAGCGAGTCCCTGATTCACCTCTCCAGCCAAGAATAAAAATAGAGGCTGATCCTTTAAAGACGATCCTGGGAGATTAAAGGATTTCTAAGCTCCAACAAGACCCGAGATAAGCTGCCTACGTGTGGGCACGGAGGAGTGGCTATTCCAGGGTGCCAGCGCGTCCGGGAAGGGCCTGCAGCCTGACGGGACTTGCCGGCGGCCTCTCCCTCCCAGGGCCCTGTGTCTGCAGGAGAGCGAGTGGAGGCTCGTTCGCAAAGCCCTCCACGCCCCCCACAACCCTCTCACGTGGTCTCTGCCCCATCCTCTTTCGCTTGGCGGTTTCCAGTTAAAACTCGCGGTCGCCCCCTGGGCAGTGCTTCTCAGTGGTTAGAGCGTTGGCCCACAGACTGAAGGGTCGCAGGTTCGATTCTCAGTCAAGGGCACGTACCTGGGTTGCAGGTTTAATACCCCGCCCTGGAGTGAGAGGCAACCAGTCGATGTGTCTCTCTCTCTCATCGATGTTTCTCTCTCTCTTTCCCCATCTCCCTCCATTCCACTTTCTCTAAAAATCAATAGAAAAATCCTCAGATGAGGACTAACAAAAAAGAAAAACAAAAAGAAAACTCACTGTTCGTATTGTTTTAAAGGTCCATCCGCTCATCACAAGCGCCTCTAGTCGCCAAGCGAATCCCTCGCGTCGCTGGCTGGGACCTCGCCCCGCCCCCTGGGAGGACTGCGGTGCGGGCTTCCACACGGACTCCCTGTCCTGTCAAGGGCTCACCCAGCGAGGCCGGGAGGGGGTGCAGCGCTGACTCGTGAAGCAGGTCCCTTTCGCCAGGCTGGGGAGGCCCTTTCTGGAGGAGGACACGTGTCCAGGCCGCCCCAGCAGGGAGCCTGTCCCCTGCACGGGGCGCACACACCCGACAGCACATCTAGACCGTGTGGGGTCACCGCCGCTCCAGCAGCCAGCCCGCCACGTGCAGAGATGGAAAGACAAGCAGGGCCTCTCGGTGTTATTTCCAGATCTAAGGAGCCAGCCGCCACGCTGTTTGCCCTGGGCAGACCCGAGATTTGCAGCCAGAGGGTGTGATTTCTCGTCCTCTCCCGGGCCCTTGTCGCTCATGCGCCTTGGACAACCTCTGGGCCTCAGTTTCCCTCATCCTTGTCGCTCATGCTGCCTTGGACAATCTCTGGGCTCCGTGTCCTCACCTGCAGCTGCCCTCCGTCCTCACCGGCTGTCGGGAGGCCCCACTGAGATCATACACTTGAACAGGCTCTGTCAAGGCTACAGTACCGAGTAGAGGAAGTTGTTATCTTTTTTTATCTTTCACCCCAAATGGACAGCTTGACCTTTGCCTCTGGGAAATGGTTTCAAATAAGAAGTGACCATGTTTAGGAACCTCAGTGAAATGGGGATGGAGATTTTGGTAACTTCCACCTGAATGAAGGGAGTCTGTGGCCTTTCACTGGGTCGCAGGTGAGGGGATGTTCCACGGACCGTGGCTCAGCGCTCCCCGTCCACGAAGCCCCCATGAGCGCTCCCTGGTGGAGCTGACATTGATAAGAGCTCCTGTATGGAGCACCCCCCAGGCCCCTGCCGCTCTGCTAAGAGTGACGTGAGCTTCATCGCACAAAACCCTCAAAGCAGCCCAGAGACCACAGGGGGAGACCGGGTCTTCACAAGGTCAGGCCTCTCCCACTGGCCCGCGGCCGGGAAGACGAAGGACTGGAACCAGGAGCTCCGTGCCTACACCGTGCTGTGCTGCCTCCCACTAAGAAATCATAACTGAACACCCCGATCATACAGGGAGGGAAACTGAGGCTCAAGGAGGAGAAATGACTTGTCCACATCACTCTGGCAGCCAGCCACCCTGAGACCAGCTCCTCTTCCCAGACCAACTCCCTTGATGACTTAGATTTTCTCAAGAAGAAATTCTGCTCACATCCACTTCCAAGGAGCAGCCTGCAGCGTGTCCCTGGGCAGCGCCGAGGCGGCCATCTGGTTTACCCAGACTCTTTCTTCACATCAGGGGATGTGCCCAGCTGCCAGCTAGCCTCACCTTTCCAAGACTCTCCCTTTCTTGGCCCACATGCTGCCCTGTGATACGCCGGGTGCTGTAAATGAGGGTGGCGGGGCGTGCTCTCAGGTTTACTGGAAGTGAAGCTGTTAAAAGCAATGTAGTAAACAGCCAGCCCAGTCAGCACACGTCAGCAGAGGCGGCGCCGGCCTCGGGCCAGAGCCCTGAAAGCTGTCACCTGCCGCGGCAGCCTCACCTGCCCACACTGGCCCCATTTGGGTCGCCTTGCCAGTTCTCAACGAATGAGAACAGTTTGCTCATAAAATCAGTTCAGCAAGAGTTCACAGAGGACTATGTCATTTACTGGGAAAAAGAGGTGAAAGTTCCTCATTAGGGATGTAAGGGTGGGGCTCAAACTGGCTTCTTTAAAATACCAGTAAGAAAGAAAGAAAGAAAATGTCAGTAAGAAATAAAATGTCAGTAAGAAATAAAGTAAAATATCAGCAAGAAAGAAATAGAATATCAGTAAGAAATAAAAAATCAGTAAGAAATAAATAAAATAAAATATCAGCAAGAAAGAAATAAAATATCAAAAAGGGAGAAATAAACTATCAGTAAGAAAGAGAATGTGGGGGCAAAGCATTAAAGCAATAAAGGGTGACGGGGGCTTCCCTCTGTCCCTAAGCTCCCCGTCCTTGCCCCCTGCCCAGGACAATGTCAATGGGTGAGCGGCTGTGCCGTGGGTGCAGCGGGAAATGCTGACGCTGCGAATAATCACAGAAGCCATCAAAACAGCTTCCATGTATTCAGCTTCCACCCACTGAAACCTAAGCTCAGAAGCAAGGAGTCTGCCCGCCCCTGCCTCGCCTCTCGCCCAGAACAGCTACTGTGTGTCTTCGATGCCGCCCCTGGGAGCCACATGTGCTGAGACCCTGTGGGTGGCACTGACTGAGGCCGGTTGAGGGAGGGGCCAAGTGGGAGAGGTCCCTGAAAGGGAACAGGAGGGTGGCCAGAAGCACCCTCACTCCCGCATCTAAAGTGCGTTTAGATAGAACCTGGGCTACAGGTGGCCTTGTGTCAGCAGCGCACACACTGCAGAGAGCCATGCTCCCCGGTGCAGGTCTGCTGGGCAACCCTTTGGGGGAGGGGTCCCCAGCATCCAAAACAGGGCTCCCTGAAGACCAGCGGTCCCTGATGGGTAAGAGTCAGGCCCCTGTGAGCAGGAACATCCCTGGACGCGTCCCAGAGCCCATATGGTACCAGCAGAGGAGCTGCGTGTGCCGTGCTGGCAGGAGCTGTGTGTGCCAGGCTGGTGGGAGCTGCATGTGCCAGGCTGGCGGGAGCTGCATGTGCCATGCAGGTGGGAGCTGTGCCAGGCTGGTGGGAGCTGTGTGTGCCAGGCTGGCGGGAGCTGCGTGTGCCATGCAGGTGGGAACTGCAAGATTGAGCAAGACAATCAGGACGTGCTCTGGGCCTGCGAGCTCCCGGGCACAGAGACGGGATTGGGGTCTGACTCACAGGCCTCGGCCACACCTCCCAGGGCCTGCGTCTGACAGCTGAAGATTACAGCTCAGTGCAGGGCTGACCTTCGTCTGCACTCGCTCCCAGCGGCAGGCATCTCGGGAGAGAGAGCCAGGCTTCCCCAGCCTGACCCGAGGGAGCAGGGAGCGTTGGCAGCCGTCCCGCGGCCTGCACAGTGGGGGGCAGGTTCTGGGATCAGACACCTGTCCTTTTGTTTCCCAAGTTTAGGCTGTCCTTGTCCACTAAGCTCTCAGGAATGTGCGATGCTGGTCTCCAGGTGGCTGAGCTCCAGCCCCGCCAGGCCCCCGCGGGAGGATGGGGCAGCCCTGAGCCCTGCAGGACGGGTGAGGAGCCCTAGGCTGGCCCTGCGCCTGCGGCTTTCCCGGAGCCATGAGCCCTCCCCGGGAAAAGCGGCGAGGAGTGCCACTCAGGCCCAACGGCTCGTCCTGCCTTTGCGAGGAGCACGGCAGAAAGGAGTGTGGCCATCAAATAACTAAGAGTGTCTCTGGCCTTGGACTTATGTGTCAGCAGACACTCCCTCTGAACGTGAGCTTTACAGGCCGGCCCGCGCTGGGATCCCCGAATCCATCGGGTCGGTAAGAAGTGGCTGCTGACTCTGAGGCTGCCGCAGGCCACGTTCTGTGTGACCTGGGCCGCCTCCCCGGCGAGGCTTTGCCTGCAGCGCGCCCAGGGCAGCTCTGGTGGAGAGGTGGCCGCTGCACTGAACCAGATGGTTTTCGGAACTGGGATCAGGTAGCAGCCATGGGTTCCCATCCCCCTCCCAAATTCTTGGGGTGCAAAAGGTAACCGGCCAATGGGCTGGCCAATCCCCAGCCGCGCCGGGCCCTGGGCCTGACCAGTCACCCAGGACACTGGCAGGCGTTCTGGGAAGAACCCCGCTTCCACAGTTGACTCCGAATGTGTGAGTCACCCTGCCTGGTGCCACCGGGGCTTGCGTGGAGCAGAGATCGCCCCAGCAGGCGATTTACCACTGCAGCTTCAGGCGCTGAGGGGAACAGTGCACTTGCAGAGAAAGTCTCAATCGCCCCGGGCAGGGCAGCAGCAGGGCTCTGGCTGGCTCTGAGCAGGGAGGCTCCTGAGAGCCCAGCCGCCCCTCCCCATCCTCCCCCTGCTTATCTGACTGCAATTCCCCAGGCCCCATAAACAGGAAAGGCACTGGAAGTCCCTGATAAGAGGCTGCCCCGCCTGGGCGCGCCTCACCTGTTCTCCCACGCCCAGGTGCCTTCTGCTGCCACAGCAGGCTCCCTCGTCCTGGGTGACAACCCACCAGCTCGGGGCCGGCCTCCTTCCAGGCCCCAGGAGACGTTTCCCTCCGCAGACGAGCATCCTGGGCTCTCTGGCTTCCTAAGGCGTCACAGCTCCACGTTACCTTCCTCCAGGCCTGCCCTTCTCGGGGCTGCCCTCTTCGCCTCCCTCCCAGAACGTGGTCTCCCCAGGGTCACCTCCCCATATCAGCCCCTGCACTCCTTCAATGTAATCGAAAATCACGTTGGCTGCTGCGGCAGCTCAACCCAATGGCAGCTCGAAATGAGAGCGATGCAGAGTCCAGCAAAACCCCTCTCTGATGGGCACCACCTGGCCTCTTCGCCCCCAGCCGTACTGATCTGTGGGGATCGGGAGCTCAACACCACTCCGCATTCGTTCCTGTCGTGTCTTCTCTTTTTAATTTGGTCATGCCTTCCTGTCGTTCACAGGGATTTCCTGTCGTTTGGGAACTCACTACAGATGTCTTCTGTTGATCAACTTAGATCAGTGATGGCGAACCTATGACACGTGTGTCAGAGGTGACACGCAAACTCATTTCTTTGGTTGATTTTTCTTTGTTAAATGGCATTTAAATATATGAAATAAATATCAAAAATATAAGTCTTTGTTTTACTGTGGTTGCAAATATCAAAAAATTTCTATATGTGACACGGCACCAGAGTTAAGTTAGGGTTTTTCAAAATGCTGACACACCGAGCTCAAAAGGTTCGCCATCACTGACTTAGATTATTATTTAAAAAGCATTTCAGCCCTGGCCAGTGTCGCTAAATGGTTAGAGCGCCGGCCTATGCACCAAAGGGTCTCAGGTTTGATTCTCGATCAAGGGCACGTACCTGGGTTGTAGGTTCAATCCCCGGCCCTGGTTGGGGTGTGTTCAAGAGGCAACCAAGAGGTGTGTCTCTCTTATATCGATGTTCCTCTCTCCTCCCCTCCTCCCCTCCCCCTCATTTCACCCCCTTCTTCCTCCTTTCCATTCTCTCTGAAAATCCATGGAAAACATACCCTCGGGCGAGGGTTAAAAGAAAAAACAAAACCACGTTCAGTTATGGCCGCGCCAACCCTGCCAGCCCACAGTTTGCTTTTCTCTCCTTCCTCAGAGGTAATGACACAGGCTGCCCGCCTGCGCCATCGCTTTGCCAAAAGCCAGAGATGCGAGAGGCTGCGTGGCTCAAGCCCTCCATGTTACTGATGGAGACGCCAGGCAGGGAGCGGGAGGGGTGCCGAGAGACCCCAGCTGCCGATCCGCGCGGAGCTCAGCGTCCCCACCCAGACACTCCCCCCCACGTGCCCTGCGGCCACTGGCTCAGCACAGGAGATCCCAACAGTGGGCGGCTGGACCCCTGCCCTGGGGCAGCCGCCGGGCGGGAGGGGGGTGGGGAGCCTGTGAAGCAACGACACTCACAAGCCACAGCAGCCGTCCGCTGATGCACAAACCGCTGCGCTGGCCACACCAGGGATACGGGCCAGCCGCGAAAAGGAGGGAAGTCCCCACGGGCTGGCCTGGAACCTGGACAAATCAGGGACGGGGAAGAGCCGGTCAGAGACTCCGCTTCATGCGAGTTCGTTCGTGTGAAGCGTCCCGAGCCGGCAGACCTATGGCAGAGGAAGCGGCTGTGGCTTCCAGAGACGGGCTGTGGGAGGTGGGGTGCCCCTGGTGGCTGCTGGGCCGGAGGGGAATGGAAGGTTCTGGGTTAGAAGGTGGTGGTGGCTGCACAGCCTCGTGACTCACTCAGAACCACAGCTGTGCGCCTTGTCGTGGTTTAGGCGCTGAGTTTGGCAGCACGTGAACTGCGTCTTCGTTTCTGAAAAGCAGCCACGGGGCCCCTTCTGCTGGTGGCCCGCGAGGAGGCAATGGGCGTCAGGGCGGGTCCTCTCCTCTGCTCCCCCCGCCTGGCTCTCCAGAGGGTGCAGTGTGGCAGGGAGGGCCTCTCGGGTGGGGTTACCCCGGAAGGGCCTTGCAGGGCAGGGGCACCCCTGAGCGCTGCCACTGAGGGCGGGCGGGGGGCGGCCCGGTGCCTGCAGCAGCTCCCTGCAGTAACGTGTCCCCTGCCCAGCCCGACTGCAGGGTAGCCCAGCGTCCTTGGGCCACGGCTGCATCCGGAGGAATTCTGGACGGCAGCCCCTCCTGCGGGGGTGGCAGCGAGCAGCCCTCCCACAGCTGGGCAGCAGCAGGGGGCACGGGGCCTGGAGCCCCGCCAGTGTGGGCGGGAGGGGGCCCTGATCAAGGTTGGCAGGAATCGGGCAAAGGAGAGAAACAGCAGCAAGGGTGGTTTCAAAAAAATTACCGCCCCCTTTGTCAGTGGGAAGTTAATGGCTTTC